TCATGATAAGATTTGGAATGCAAGTTTCAATTCTCTTAGCTAGAGCCTTACACAGAATCTAAGTATCACAGGACATCAACGATATGGGCCTATAGGGTGATTTTTCATTGGGAGATTTACCAGGTTTTAATATAAGAGTAATCAGAACTGATCTCACAGAAGGGGGTAATATTCCTTTTCCCGAAGATTCATTAAACATTTCAAGTAAGTGTGGTAGAATTTTCCCTGCAAATGTTTTGTAAATTTCCATCGGGAGGCCATCCGGTCCCGGAGCCTTACCATTACTCATGTCCTGTAGAGCCTCTGAGAGCTCTTCTATACTTAAATTCCTTTCTAAATTACTTCTTGTCTCCTCTGATAATTTTGGAAATTGAATTTTATCAAGAAAATTATTTTGCCCCTCTGAATTGTTGGTGTTGTCCGATTTATACAAATTTTCATAATAGAGTTTAAAAACGTTATTTATTTCCATTGGGTCTACAGTCTTCTCCCCATTCTCTAAGAAAATTGAATTAATGGCTCTATCTGTTTGTATTTTCTTAATTCTCCACGCTAGAAGTTTTCCTGATAATATGACTGCTTTAGCCACATTAAGTTCTTAGATATTTTACTACTAGTTATTTCATTATATTTGGCTTTCAATACAAGAAGTTCTTTCTGCTTTGAAGGGTCATTATTGGTAAAGAGCTGCTGTTCTAGTACTTTAATTTGCTTCTCCAGGCCTACTAATTGTGCCCGATAAATTTTGGATCTATATCTTGTAAAACTTAAAATCTCCCCTCTAATATATGCCTTGAAGGCCTCCCATTTAACTGAGGCACTTGTTTGATTCGTATTAACTGAAAAAAATAGTTCTATTTTATTATCCAGAAATTTTACAAAATCATGATCAAAAAGCCAACTTGCTTGAAATCGAAATCTGGTAGAGGGGAGTACAAAATTGTCTAATTGGATTGTAAACAGAACAGGGGCATGGTCGGACAGTAGGATACTATCATACCGACTTTTACCTACCTTCGCCACTAAACCATTGGAAATTAAAAAATAATCTATTCTTGAAAATGTTTTATATGTACTCAAAAAACATGAGTATTCTTTCTTGCTTGGATTGAGATATCTCCAAATCTCAACTAAATTTAAGTCAGTCATAGATTTCAAGATAATTTTTTTAGACTGTTGATGGGTACTATCTACTCCTGAAGAGCGATCTTCAGTATACAATTAAAATCTCCTCCAATTACATAATGTCCGGTATAAGCTGAGACAGTGAAAAAGAAATTCTGAAAAAAGGAGGGGTCATCTACATTAGGAGCATATATGTTTATTAAATTAATAAGTGATGTCAAAATTGTACCATTAAGAATGATATATCTCCCTAACGGGTCTACATATTTATGTTTTAACTAAAATGGAATGGACTTATGTATAAGAATCATGACTCCCCTGGCTCGAGAGGTGAAAGATGCATTGAAAACTTGTCCTGGCCATCTCTTAGTAACTCTACGAACATCTTCTTTTAATAAATGGAGTTTCTTGTAAAAAGATTATGTTTGATTTCATTTGTTTTAATCGACCTAGTACTTGTTTTAGTTTTACCAAATTATTTAATCCTCTTACATTCCAGTTGCAAATATTAATCTCCGAATTATTAATCATTTATCTATTTATATAACCATATAGATACAGCTGTGCCTGGGCATACCATATAGAATGTAAAACGGAAAGAGTGAGATAGTGAGAAAAAAAAACGAAAAAAAAAAAACGGCTAACATGAACAACCCCCCTCCACCTCCCCCCGCCTGCATTCCCCCAATTGGAAAGCATAACAACACCCCTTGCAATGAACCTTGGTTATGAAACATGTTAGATCCATATAATATGGAGCAACATTCGGCAAGTCAACTCTCATTACTATCAGCCCTGGGCTCGCTACCCAAAAAAGAACTGGGCTCTGATTTAAAGCTAAGTCCCACCCTATGGAACATCGGTCTAGTTTGAATGGACATGTGCACCTCTATACATGAACTTGTTTACTCATATTGATGAAAATATTGGTGAAAGGAAAAATCAATTTAAACTAGGCTACATTTAAACCGGCAAGGTAAT